TATATATATATATATATCACATCATACTGATTCTTGCATTGTAATATTAAAATATCAAAGGCCTACGTCGTGTGACCAACACCACGGAAATAGACCAAGAGCTACAGTGGAGCCACGTAAGAATACGTTCCACGTGGAGATCTCCAATTTGGCTAGTCTCTTGGCCTCTCGTCTGCTGGGGCAACAATACCTCAGTAACAAGTTGTTTTCCCTGTTACTCTGGAAGTAACCCTCGCCAATCACGGTGGCAATGCATTATTCCAATGGACGGAATTGGTGGCCTCTTCCTTTGGCCTTGGCCATAACATGCTACCTGCCTGATAAACTCGGAGGTCAGCATCGTCCTCGCCCGACCTTTGGATCACTTTGTCATCCAGCCCTTTTAATCCCTCCAGCATCACATCTTCAATTGGGACCCCGATGGATGGAGCTTCATTGATACAATTATCTACCTCCACCTTTTCTTCGACGTCGCTCGGATCACTGATTTCACCTTTTCTTTTACCGGAAGCATTGAAGGGACTTTTCAAGGTTGCACCTGTTACTGAGGTACGTACTTACTCTTGTTTGTCTGATCAGTCCGTCAAGAAACCATTCACCTTGAGTTTGAAATGATGCGATATTAGTTGCGTTTCATGACTCTGTTCTCTAAAAATGTCTGAAACTGTAATTTTATTCTGCTAGTGCTGCATCTATAACTACATTTCCAATTGTTTTTTTTATTATTGTATGATGACGATCTTATGCTATATAGGGTTGAGCATTCGGTCCGTACCAATAAATCAGTTTTAAAATTGGTCAAATCAATTATAACTGAAATCCATAATCCAGAAAACCAACCCAATATAAATTTAGCTAAATCCAAACCGATCGAACCGAAACGGTTTCGGTTATGAAAAAACTGAAATTTCATAGTTTATTGAAATTTGGCTTATAACAAACATTATGGATTACATTTCTTGTTCACATAATATCGATTTGATTTCATGAATATTTTATTTATTTCAATCAACTATTACATATAATAATATTTTTTATTTTTTTAAGTTTATTCAACATGAAATTAAAATATAATAAAATTTTAAAAAAAATTTCAGTTTTTCGGTTTGTTCGACTGAATGAAAATTAAAACTGAACCGAAAACCGAAATCCAACTTTGAAACCAAATCGAACCAACCAAACTTGATTGGTTCGGTTGATTTTTAGGTTTAGACCAAATAATGCACGCCCATGCTATATGCAATTGTAGTCATCCAGCTAGCATTATAGCTTCAATCATAGTGTAACCAATTAAAGCTCTATATAGTATAAGCATGCACTTTATACATTAATTAGTAGTATGGAATATAATGAGCAAATAGATTCTTTTATTGCTATTATTTTCTTATTTACATTTTTTACACAATTCTCCATTATTGTAATGCATAAGTACCTATCTTCATGGTAGAAGCGACCATAGACCAACGAAACCATCTTCTCATCTTAAACCCAAATAACCCATACCATGGATATATTTGGTACATCCATCACAAACTTGAAAACCATTCTCCTCTCAAAATGGAAGAAAAATTACGTGTGGATAATTCATGTAGAGCTACGTGCGGAATTCAAATCGAAATTGCCACATGTCAAAGATTTTATTATTATTATTATTTTATTCTAATTAATTCATAAGAAACAGTGTGGCCCGTCCCAGCCCGTTTTAGGGGTATTGATGTAGTTAATAACTTACGAAAATAACGTACCAAAAATTTGAAAGCAAATATAAAAAAAACTGTACAACATTTAGGGTTTAGGATTGAAATAATTTTTTGTTACTGAAAATCAGAAAAAATCTTGAAGATAGAGAACAAGTAAAGTAGTAACTTGAATAACTCAGATGTCATATTTGTTTCTCTTGCTGGTGATGATATTATAGACTAAAGATTATAGGTAGGTTGCAAACATAATTACGTTTATATATTTTGTAAGCTTTATTTTTTTATTATTTGGAGTAGTTTGTCATATGTAATATTTAATATTCTAAGGATATATGTAATATTTAATATTCTAAGGATACTATGTTGTTTGAGTTGTAATACACATCTAGATTTGGTGCTGACAAAATGCACAAATGAAACCATATTGTTACCCATTGAATAAGTTAAATCAACATAGAGGAGACATAGAAAGCTTTGACTTTCGAAAAAAAATGATATTGAAAAATATCAAAGATACGTTATGTACAACATGGTTGTACAAGAAGAAAAACCAAACATTTATGTTCTACAAAAAAAAGATATATAGACATAAAAAAGAACCTCGGTCCAGCTATGAACTTCTTTACGATAACAAAAAAAAATCATTTCAAAATGAATGTACCAAGAAAAATACATATAGAAAGAATATAAAATACAATAAAAAACATAAAAAGAAATCCAATAAACCCTTTTTTATTAAAAAAGACAATGATATGTTTCAACATTTACAACCATATTTATGGATTTACATACTAAAGAGGAACGATTGGTCTAGCCGGGTATCCACCATCAGATACTTCCCTTTCGAGCTTCCCAAGACGTTGCTAGCGCCATCCATCCAAGCGACTCCTTGTCATTAGACGAAGGTAGGGCGACACTGTCTCTTCGATCGCATGCCTTTTCCCCTCTGATTCCCGGTCGGCCCTCGCCCGTAGTTGAACTTTGGAGTTTGTGCCGCCCTCCAGAGCCAGAATAGTCTGAAGTTTGAAAACTTTTCGAATCTCCCATCGGAAAAATCTGAAATTGTTGTAGTTTGTTTTATGAAGAATTGTAAACCTCAAAAGCTTTGTTTTTAGACAAAATGAAATGTGTGTTGGCTTTGCATATGAGAATCTCAAACTTATGTGATTCATTCTTTTAGAAAATATGAAATGTGGTAGTTTTGTTTTGTGAAAATCTGGGAACTTCAAAAATCTCATGTTGGAAAATATGAAATACGCAGTGGCTTTCTGTTTAAAAATCTGAAATTTTTATGGCTTTGGTTTATGCGATCCGGAAACTTCATAAATCTCATTTTGTAAAATTTGGAATCGTGACGACTTTGCTTGATGAAAATTTGAAAATTTTACAAATATAGTTCTGGAAATTATGAAACTATTGCGGCTTTGTTTTGTGAAAGTTCTGAAACTTTGAAAATCTCATGTTGAAACATATAAAATGCGTGGTGGCTTTGTGATTAAAAATCTGAAGGGCTTATGGCTCGGGCCTATGCGATTCAGGAAATTCGGAGTCGTTGCAGCTTTGGTTTGCAGAATCTAGAAATCTCTGACGTTTCATTTTTTGTGACTGTGTTTGTTTGTGGGAGATCGGAAAACTTCAATTGCTTTTTTGTCTTTGAAACAAATATTTACATGTGTGGATTTTGGTCTCTCTTGATATCTTACATACCGCCCCATTCCTAAGTATTTACATATTTAAGATCTAAACTTTAATTTTTACATACCACCTTTTATATGCACGACAAGGTGTATTTTTATTAAGTTAAAGAATTGATATTTTTTTTAAGTTAAAGACTTGGTGGCATAAATGTATAAAATAAAAGTTAGATTTTAGATATGTGTATGAATAGGAATTGTATGATATGCAGCAAAATGATCATGACATTGCTTTTCTTCTCATTGGGTGAATAATGATGCATTTATTGTCAATGCATAGGTTTTTCTTGAACATCTACTTGTTTGATGATTTATTCTCATTAAACCTTTTACATGATTTTGCACCTCACTCCACGATATGGATGAGTGTCGTTGGATTACTTGTATGTTTATCACCATGCACATATGATTACATCTTTTGTGAACTCAAATTTTTACTACATTCAATTCTCATATAAACTGCTCTGTGCGACATTACGAGGTAAATCTTGTCACAGTCGAAATGCTGAGTATTCATGAAGCTACCCTCGAGCGAACAAAATAGATGACACTAAACTTTGCATCGGTGGGATCTATCCAAAACATCTCGACTTTTCATTTAAAATCCTTCCTCACCTTTGAAGCCTTAATCTAAATAATGGAAAGTTAAAATTTGTAAAACTAGAATCTAAGTGATCATTAATCAACGAAACTGAAAAGAATTAATAAAATTGAAATAATTAAATGTAATTCAAATAATGTTTGCAACTTTCCCAAAATCATAAACATTTCATTTTCATTAGCAAACTTAACAAACAAAATCAACATTTACCACCATATGCCATCTTGATTTTGCTGTTAAATCATACAAGCATGTTACAATTACTGTAATTATGAACTTCAAAAGCTCATTAATTAAACTAATCATAAGAAAAATCATTGATAATTGAGTGTTATGTTACAGCATATTCTTAGCCAGTTACATTATCATACCAAAAAACATGAAATATTACAAATAAATAAAGCTACTATTAATATATGAAAGTAGCAACTACTATAACAATTATCAAATTCCAATAATATAAAAATGGCATGTTTAATCCTCTAATCAAACTCCTGCTAACAACGAACTTTGAAAGCTTAATAAAACTACTTTCTGAACTACAACGAACATGCTTCAAATACTTGGCATATTATAAATCATAACACGCCAAATATAATAATTACCAAAAGAAAGCACATCCTAAAAGATATTATATTTTAATGATTTTGTAAAATTTTAACTTTCACAAACAAAAATATACATTTCTGGTACAAATAACATCGATAAAATGTAATAAGTAGTCTAGAAGCATCCATTACTTAAATTACATACACATTTCAGAAGAACCTGTTGATGAAATTAAGAATAACGAGGAATAAAGTGGAATACTTCATATTTATTTCATTGATATGAACGAGAGTATAAATAACCCTTACAATAACTCTATAATAGGAAAAATAATAAAAAAGAAATGATATGAAAGGAAAAATATATCATATAATATCTCCAATAATTAATTCATATTAATTATTAGAAGATATATGAAATAACATAAAATAGGAAACCAAATAATTCTTAATCTAAGGAAATAAATATAAAATAGAAAAGGAAATATCTCCTTATATTAAGGAAATAATTTATTCCTCATAACTTCTTATAGGAATAAATTATTTC